AAATTTTCTCTGCCCAGCTCCTTTTCACCCGCACACTCTATTGACTTCATCAGTGCCATGTTTGACTGTGCGATATCTTATCGGGCAATTCATTGTTTGACCCTTGTCTCATCAACTTCTGAACAAAATAAGAACATGTTTCTGTGCCGATTATTCTTTAAAGTGACTTTTCGTTGATGCTGAAGAATTTCGATTTTGATTTTTAGTGCAACCCAAGTTTATCGGGCTGAAAATCGGCCACATAAGAACGAGTTTACTCGCTTTTACAAGCAGTATCGACGAATAAGAGCGATAAAATATCCCCAGTTCGAGTGAATAACATTACAAATGGAAGAGATGTTTGAAAGGGATGATTTCCATGCGGTGATGAATTGCGACCGTTTATGATTCAGACCCCTCCCCCCACCTACAAAATCGCGCCATGAGTCACTTTTTATCGTATATACGTTTGTCCGTTTGTTTGTGATGAGCGAATTCGATCAGCATCAACTTGTTTTCTTCTTACTCGTCAAATCCTCTCCTCCCTCGTTCGTCACTCATTGCAGCTCAGTTTTCGCTTTATTGCCTTTTGAAGTTTTTTCTCGAACTATCACATCTCTCGAACCTCGTTGGCGTCCTACTGTAGCTGGTCCGTGAACGATGAAGGAAGGACACATCTCATGCATTGTAAGCAGTTTCGTGTTGAGAAAAGCAAATTATTCGCGTTTTCAACGATCATTTCCATACTATTGGCGAACTAGAAGCTGCAAAGTGATTGCTGAATAGATGAATGAAAGAGAGCGGGAGCTACGGTAACAGTGAAAAGCTCTGAGGTCAAATGTAGGGTTACGGGCATTTGATTTTCCTATTCTCCTTCTTAGAATCCATGAGAATTGGTGAAAACGTCGCTGATAAATTCCGCTGGTCTCCTTCAGCCTATCTAACACTTGCATCAATCGAAAATGAGCAGCCATTTCCTACATGTCCTCGCAAAGGGCCCCATCATTATCATCATCACTGAATTTCCTCCCAGACGTCTGTCTAAAGTTGAACAGACATTTTCTTTCTCACACCAAAGTAGTTCGTCTGGTTTGTATCATCATGGACCCACATCAGCTGTTCAAAGTCCCTCATAACTCTTTTCTGAGCGTCATGGCTTCCTTGCAAAGCGGACTTTGTGCCTCGTGTGTGCTTTGTAAGATAGATGAGGCTGCTTTAGAGTTCTGCTACCACAAAATGCTAGGCTGGTTGTGCTATTGTTGACAGTAAATGTTATTGTTATTGTCTCGACTGATGATGATGGAATGAAAAAGATGACATATGATTGAATTCTCTTCCCATGTGCTAAAAAAACGCCTTGGTAGGGGAGCGTATGCGATTTTCTGATGCGTTGCTCTCGGAATCATTGGCTAGTTCTGGCTTTTCTCCCCCGTTCCTCATTAGCCTCCCGAGGAACGCGGCAAGGACCCATTCCTCCGCCTCCTCGTCGCCTTTGCGCAATTTTTTCTCTCCTCTATGAACACTCGAACGTAGCTGCTTCTCTCTTTCTACTTGTGTCAATTACCTCACTGACATTTGATCCTCACTGACGGGGAATCGCCAATCAGCTGATCACTGAGGTCTTACATTGAAGTTTTCTTTTCACGAACGATCAAAGAACTTCTCAAGCTTTTGACGTAACGATCGTATTAACTGCTGGAACATGATACTCACAACAGCCATTGTTTTTCGCCTACGTTCGGTCGTGACGGGCATTTAAAAATTCTGAAAACGATTATGATGTCTTGCTTGAATCGATTGTAGGAACATTAATTACCGGTTCAGCGGTACTTTTCATGTGACGTGACAAGTCAGATATCTTACTTGAAAGTAGTTTGTATTGCCAGCTGACAAGATAAATGTTGAAGATGGCTTTCTTCTGCTTTACTGCTTCTTTTTGGTCTGCTAACTTTTTTCGTTCCTTAAGCCTAGGCGAGCTAGTCCTCCAACTGGTTTGTGCTTTGGTTACGAGTTATTTGCACAAGTAGTCTTATGCGGTAGTTCTGTTCAGCATTTTCTTCTTCAACATCAGCTTGTCTAATAGCTTAGTTCCACTCGGATTTACCCGCCCCACGAAACGTCTCCAAACTCATGAAATTATATTATTAGGTTGACCGGAAAGTTTCCCGCCATTGAATTGGTGAGGAATCCAACGGCCAAGCTTTGCGACTTTACCAATCTTCTCCAGCCCAGATTCAACAGTTGATTGGGCATGGCCGAGCATCGCTGCAAGTTCCCTGGTAGTGGCGTACGGATCCTCTTCCACGGTGGATTGCAGCAACTTCAAGTCTAACTCCATCGGCCGGCCGGACCTTGGAGCATCTTGGAGAGAAAAATCTCCTTTCTTGAACTTGGCCATCCAGGTCTTGCACGTGTCGTAAGAGATAGCGTCAGCGCCATATGTATCCACTATCTTGGCTTGGGCTTTTGCGTTTAAGCCAGACTGATGAAGGAAAAGAAGACAGTGCCTCAGGTGCATCCTGTCGGGTTGAAACTTGGGCGGCATTTTGGAATCCAAATGCAAGCTGGGTGAGTGTGAGGTAGTGATGTGAAAGAGTCTCTTGCGTGCTTCATGCACACCCCACGATAAGTCATAAACATACATGCAAGGCTAATATGGTGCGATCAAACACGTGACGGGAAACTAATAATTTCATTCAAATAAATACATTTTGGTACAGCGTCCAGTATAGAACTTTTACAAGTTCTTCACATTGATAGGACATTTGTCCACGATAAATCTTAGGCCATCGGCCGTCAAATCACCAAAACCCCAGGGAAATCGAGGTGTTCATGTCGGGCCCGTTTTTTATATTTCACGCGGCACTTTTCATGTTATTGCAAAGCGCGCAGGAACGATGCAGCAGCGGTGTCCTTTTTTCCAACAGTCCCTTCAATGAGTCATATCACTTGGACCAGGACTAATGCAGAAAGATTGACAGCGACGGGACGCCGTCAACGTTTCAGACGTCCCCGCTGTATATTGCTGTTTTATACCCGCCTTCCTGTCAAAGAATTTGTTTTTACATGACCAGCACTGCTAATATTGGGTTCTTTGGACGGCTGATATCGGAAAGATGAAGGAATGGGCCAAATTCTCAACTAATAGCTATATGATGATTTTCGGAAATCAGAAATCTGCTGGGGAACCCGTGAAAAGAATGGAGAGTGGGGATGCCCCAATGAAGTCTGCAGTGAAGCAATATCTTCTTGAAATTGATGGAAATTTCCTTTTTCCCGAGGAGTGCTGAACAAACAGATTCCCAAGAAACGGATTCTGCTGGCGTAACTGCATGCGGCTGTTGACGGTACTTTTTGGAACGGATGAACTCATTTCTTCATCCTTTTCCTTTCATCTTTCGTTCATGCCTTGCGTTTTGCTACAGAAACCGATGTATGCTGTTCCACAGGTGAAAGGAATTCTTAAAGGGATGAGAAAATATCGCATTTGGAGAAACGCGTGGACAGATCCGCTGCGAAAGTGTGAACTCTTGAGCCTCAACCCTTAGGTCAGAAGGCGCTACGTATGTAGAGGAATGCTTTTACGTGATGGGCCTACAGGTTCACATTGAAGGATGAACGATCTTCGAGCCTATGTACGTCTTCCGCTCTGAACAGGGTAGTCCCATAGAACCATTGGACCATTGTAGTGATCCTGGAGCTCCGGAAGGGCTCGAAAAATAAAAGGCGACGCGTAGGGGGTCTACAATGGAATGCGATCATATAGCTTGTAATTGTACAACATGAGTTTCTAATCGCTGTACGACTTTCGCTCTCAATTTTTGTAACTTACAATCAAGGCACTTCGCACGTTGGGGAGTCCCAGCGAGGGAGGTCGTAAATGGTCCGAAAAGAGTTTTTGATAGTTGATTTGTCCTGTTTTGCGGGCGCTGTTGGGAGAATTAGGATGGGGGAGGGTCGTATTTGCTCGTTTTTGAGAGAGGGTAGGTCGCATTTTCTTTTAAGGGAAATCGGTGTTGCAAGGCCTCCTCCCCTCAGGTGATGGCGTTTCAGAACTACTATTTCGAGTGCAAGAAAGCTTGTGAATTTGGCAAGATAGTAGGTAGAACGGCGAAAAGGGCGGGGGGGGGGGGGCGGGGGGTGGCAAATATCGAAATTGGAATAATGGTTGTATTTTGCGAATATTTTCCCCAGCGACAGGACGTGTCCTGATTGCAGTGGATCGAATTCCTTGCAGCTAAATTTGATCACTTAACTAATCGATTTCAACCCCTCTTACTTTGTTACTGGATTGATCAATGTTATTGTATTTGTACTCGGATACAAGCTGAGTGTCCGGAAGTGACATTTATTAGCTGTGCCCTTAGAGAAGGGAAGTACACTTCTGGTAAATGAGCTCTGGAAATGTCTTTCGGAGGAGATCCGCCCCTGACCTTTCTGAGTGCAGCTCTTTCCTCTCAGCTTTCTGAAATCTGTTCTGGTGATTTTGACACTTCGAGCTCATCAAAGAATTATCCAGCGTCGAGATATCAACGAGCTCATGTCAGTCCAGCGACCATAATTGTTGCGCTAAACACAACGGGGGGATGGGGGAAGGGGGCAAACTTTTGGTAAGACTGATAAGTTGGCAAGGCTGTGAAAAATGATTGAGAGGAAGGGAGATCGGGAAGGGGGGGGGTGTCGTGTTTGGCAGAAGTTTCCCACAAAGCGATGGTGTCCCCTAGCTGGACGGCGTTTCCCTAACTTCTTGACTTCTCTGGTTGACGATTCTTCAATCAGTTTCGTTTCAATTTTCTTTTTTATTCCCCTTAATCGCTTTTCGTTTCGTATGTTGCAGTCGATCGCTGTGGGTTCGCCCAGATTACTAGTAACATTCGTAAAACTCTTTCATTTCAGATGTGCTATTGAACGAAGCTGTGCGCATTCCTTCCACATATCTATCGTCATTATTTGTCAGTTTAAGTGTATTCATAAATATTTTACTATTACTAAATTCATTAAACACTCTGTCTGTAATAAAAATGACTGCTGACGACTGTGAAAAGGTGAAAGTCGCCGTACGTGTTCGTCCATTTAATAAGCGAGGTTTGTTAACTATTCAATTTCCGATTTTCGTCATTCAAAATGATCCTCTTCATGAAAATATTTTCGTGGGTAGTGCGTCAAGCTAATATATGGAAGGCGAGAATGAATTGTTATGCTCAAGATTATGAGGGGTTTATCCACTAGCAAACAGAAATCGGAGACTTCCTGGGTAAACGACGACGTTCTTTCTCAACAAAGCGCGAGGGCTAAAAACGTCTTTATTTCAGCATGGCTGATGAATCGCCACGTTAAACTACAATTCATTTTCTTTACGAATCATAAATTAGCTATCAATTCTTGTCATCAATTTGCGATGATCCCATAAAATGGGTCACGATAGAAAGAACGACGGTCATCACAGAGGTTAAGGCCAGAGGAGCGAAGTGTAGAGGAAAGCAGCTTCGGCGCTGTTTGGCTCAGAGAGGGCATTTTGCACTTTAACTAGTTTCTTTTCGTTACTCTGTTAAATAACGAGCCTCATTTTGTGGAGACCTGTGAACTTCTGCTGTGCAACGGAGCGAGTGAGCCAATTTGTTCGAGGCTTATGTTAGCTGACAACCATTCGGTGCCCCGACCCGCCCAACTGCGCCCGAATCTTGTCAATCTAGCGGCCTTTCCTGGTAACAATGACAGTAATTCATTCAACAGTAGAGATGAAGTTGGTCATCGGGAACTTCCATAGGGCACTTTGGTTTAAAGTTTTTGAAGCACTGGCCCAGATGCGCGATTCCCCTATTTCCTTGGTTTGGCAGTTTATGCGGCGATTTTACCCTTTGCTCAGTCACTGTACGGAAAGTAAACACCGTACACTTGCCACAACTATGATTTTGCCTGTCCGTTCTGTCCCTGGGTATCCCTTTCCCTTTCTACGTTTTATTATACCAAACATGTTCTGGTATCACCGCAGCGCATCTTCTGACCGTTCAAATGCCTTCCAGTGCCCTATTCAGAGGCATTATTTATTGTAGGGTAGGGACCAAATTTCAGATAGTCCCTGTTTTTTATTGGAAACTGGTGTTGTAAATATTTAGCCGTTGAATACTCCTTCGGGGAATCTTCCGCTGCTGAAAAGTCGACCCACAATTTTTGGTTGAGGAGATTTATGCATGAGCCCTAGGGATTATGAGAGCTCATTTATCAGTACCATAATCTCTTTGACTGTTTTGTAACACTAATAATTCATGTGATCCTGTCAGTTGCCCGTTTTTGATTAATAGCAACTCTTGGAGGTTGTCTACCCTCAGTGACTGGCCTCTATTACCGAGAAGTTATGAAGTATTCTTGATGGGGAAGGGGCCCTAAAAACCTGCTCTCATCTTCACGTCACTTACCGTTGGACGCTTGTTCTTTAAAATCTAGGATTAGTGGGCGATCAGAAGGGCAAGCGAATTCTTCAGAATGCCAAGCGAATCGGATAGCGTCATTAAAGCTCTTGAAATGAGTATATGGTAACAGGACTACTGGAAAATGTTGCATTGTGAAATACCCCTGCTGTGACTCGCGGAGTGGCCTTTTATGGGTTTCTATTTAGGAGAAGTACAAGTGCAGAAATCCTCTCAGTAATTTCGCTCAAATGACCTTGGCATGGAGAAGTTAACGTGTAATAATAAAAAACATTTCGGTTCTAGTGATTTAATAGCTATTAGGTCATCCCATTCAAACTGGCCGCTGGTTTTTTTTGAATAAAACAAAGAGGAGAATAGATAGAAAAGTGATATTTTAGCTTTAGGATGAGTAAATCCCTCCTTCACCAATGACCCGCTCCCAGTGCCCCGAGGGCCTTTGGACCTCTGGTACCTTCGATTTTTCAAAAGTGTGGTAAATTGCTGTTGTTGCCAATTTCGGCAAATGACAAAACATTGTAGCGTCTGCCGTCGAAGAGTACTCTCTACTGAATAGAACAGTTGTAATCGCATGGCTTTATGACGGGCGAATGGGGCGATTGAACCCAGGTCTCAGTATTGTTTGTTCCCAGCACTGATCTACAATACAGTTACTCGGGGTCTGGTACTATGACGAGCAACGGTGGCCTTCTTGTAGTTGTGTGGTAGCATCCATTTGTCGATCTGAATGCCGAGGAACAGGCAAATATGCACCGACAGTGACGGATTTGTTCTCTGTATAGAGCCGCTTGAAAGCCACAGTGTGGGAATCCTTTGCTATGATGATCATCCACTTGCGCCCACGTAACTCTTCATGGTAGAACTCGGGCGGCTTCTCATCTGCATTCATACAAAATTGACGATTGTGAGTTTCGGCTCGAGGTCCGAGACCACCCATATTTCATCTAAGGCCTGGGTGCGTTTTCACAGTTGTGAGTGACATCTCATGCTGAGAACATTACTGCTAGAAGGTTATAGTTCGTGCTTCTATAAGAAAATTGGGTACCCATGCGCACACCCCCTTGACCATCCTCAGTTTATCGGTCATAACACGTACAGTAATTGCAGCAGGGATGTCAGTCTCGCGGGGAAACCCGACAAAGGTCCAGGCTCTGTGATCAGATATTCAGTGCCTGACTTCATCCACCCGTTTTTGCTCCTGAACCAAATCTTCCACCGTGTATTTCGAGAACACCCTTACACACAACTATGGTCCGGCGCAGGTCAAATTTGAGCAGCGCACTTTCCTCTTATGACGTCTGATTTGAAAAACCGGCGCCGATTTTCACCACTCGGGCTTCTTTTCAATTTCTCGAGAACTTCTTCTGGGGCTAGGTTCGCCAAATTTCACAGATACACAGCTTAAGGTACTAGCTTCCAAATGGTATAGTAGCCCGCTGCTCTATCCCCTTTGCTTTTCTGCCATTCCTCTATATGTAGCCGCCAGTTTGAATGGGATGACCTAATAGACACTAGTGGAAGGGGTCGTATTTGGCCTCAAGATAAACTTTTTCAATCGTTAAGTTGTGTCGTTTCACGCGCATTGGACCTCTCCCCTTGATGACCGGGCAGAAAAACTACTAGTTTTGATATTTTCCAGAAGGTGTCCACTCCCCTTACCCCACTTCCCCCCTCCCCTCTGACGCCCACCTCTACTTCACGGCCGATTTGGGAAGTTGGCAGTGTGAAGAAGGTCCTACCACTGTCCTTCCACCTGATATTTTCGGGGGCGGTACAATGAATCGCGGGACAGCGGCACATCAAAAGGATTCGCATCAATCATTTTAAGAACGCCAAGTCGCGACCAGGGCTTCGTCTCAGATGTCATATTTGGGAGACGGGCAAGAGAATCGTAAATTGCCGCTTCGTTGCGCTGGGCAGTGAGCGCGACGTTTCCTTAATTTGCACTACCTTTCGACTGGAGCATCGGATTTCATGTAGACAAGGACATGGTAGACACTTATGTCTATTTTTGGTCATACATTGTCTATTCTAGACCAATACCACCTAGAATCGTTGTCATCGTCATTAGCATGCGCGAAGTCGCACGCGACGCCCACTGGCGAGCCAATTATGATTCTCTAGCCCACTGGCGCGGCGAATTATGATTCTCTTGCCACACACCCGCCATATTTTGTCCTGGGAGGATAAATGTCAATGAGCCCTGTTTTTGGGCGAATCTTCGGAGCATTTATGCGCGTATTTTCGAAGTTGTGGACCCAGTCGATGTGCAAGTATATATTTATCCTCTGTGGCAAGCTGGTTCCCATTGACCAATCCTGAAGAGGTTTGGTAAGTGCTTCGGTTAGCTTGGGCAAGACCTGATCCGGGATTTGACTTGCAGAACACGCCTGTCGTAGCGGCGCTGTCTTTCGCTCTTCCACCCACCCCCTTATTAGATGCTAGAGCGCTTCCCATCGCTTTCTGCATCGGTACCTGAAAGAACTGAAGAATGCGAGGATTGTTCGGACAGTTTTTGTAAAGACAGTCCGTGAGATCAATGGCATAAAAGGAGGTTCTTTCTAGAATTTGCAAACTAGTGTGAAAATCGATGGAACTCTATTTTTTCCAGAATTGGATTTGAATACGAAGGCTGTTGTGCGGATGTGCAACGGCCAGACGATACTAAATCACATCTCTGATGAGTACGTTGCAACTTCCGCTTTCATAAAAATTCCTTCATATTTGAAAAATTTCACTTTGCCTTTTTTCAGCAAACAACCAAAAACCTTCGCTTTTGACCACTCTTTCTACTCTACAGATGTCAATGATCCTAACTTTGCAAGTAAGTAGTTAGCAGTACGGTACTGCGGACCTGCTAATTAATGCTTAATTGGTACTTCAGGTCAAGAGGAAGTGTTCAACAGCCTTGGATCAGGTGTTTTGGAAAATGCATTTGCCGGTTATAATGCGTGTATTTTCGCTTACGGGCAGACAGGTAACGTTGTTGGCTTACTTGTCATTGGAAGCCTATGTGAAAGTGTTGCTTTTAGGCTCTGGTAAATCCTATTCTATGATGGGTACTTCTGATCAGCCTGGAATTATACCGCGCTTGTGCAATGAGGTAACTATTGACGCCTCTTTAATATTGTCGCAGATTGTTTTCCGCAACTGCACATATTTAGAAATTTAAATTTTTCTAGGTGATCAAAGGTAATTTTTTTGATGGTTTCAGGTATTCACAAGGATCAAAGAGACCACATGCGAAAGTCTTCAGTACAAAGTTGAAGTCTCCTTCATGGAGATCTACAATGAACGTGTTCGAGATCTTCTGGATCCGAAAAAGTGAGTTATTTTTATTCAGCCACTTGTTTTGAGGGTGTGTTAGGTGCTGAGCAGTGACTACTGAGCAACGCGAGTGCGCGCGGTCGTAAGCTGGAAAACCCGGGAAATAGAGTAATTCCCGTGGTTATTTCTGTTGAAGTGGTGAGACACTCAAGGTTATTCTTTCTGCTTTTCCAGATCAAATAAACATCATCTTAAAGTACGAGAACATAAGATCCTTGGACCACTTGTCGATGGCTTATCTGTACTGGCTGTGGATTCATTTGAGGTAAAGAGCTGGAATTTTTGACCTTATGACCCTTACTTATTGCGCTGAACTTGCTATTCGCACTAAGGTTCGTCTTTATTTAAGTTTCCCCGCTACCTTTTTTGATTTAGCAAATCGCCTCCCTTATTGAAGAAGGAAATAAGTCGAGGACAGTGGCGGCCACCAATATGAATGCCGAAAGTTCCCGTTCTCACGCCGTATTCAACATAACGCTCACACAAATCCTCAAGGACATCGATAAGGACGTGAGTACCCTAAAATGGATGCCATCCCAAGCCAGAACTCTGTTGAATTTATCGATTTCCATTTTTTAGTTTACTGGTGAAAAAGTAGCGAAAATTTCTCTCGTTGATTTGGCTGGAAGTGAACGAGCTGGTAAAACTGGTGCAATGGGTAAACGTCTTGAAGAAGGTGGTAACATTAACAAGTAGGTCTCATTTGACTTGAGTTCACTTGTCCGTAGTCCATTTCCGTTCACGACCGAGAAATTGTTTTTTTTTCGTTCAGATCGCTCACCACTCTCGGAATGGTCATTTCCGCTCTGGCGGAGCGCTCAAATGGGAAAAAGGAGAAGTTCATTCCATATCGTGATTCAGTGCTTACTTGGTGAGTCTGAGTAAGAACTGCTCGATTACTAGAGATGAGCAAGGTTATCAGATGAAGAAGGGTAGAATACAAGGGTTAGGGTGACTGTAGTTAACGGGACCATCAAGAAGGTGAGAGAGGGGAAGGGGGAAATGGAACAACCTGTGAAAACACCTTCAACGTATTTATTTCGTGTACACTTGAAAGAGTTACTCTCCTCGAAGTCTTCCGTGGGTCCTGATCCTATAGGCCTCCCGCTCGCTGGGAGAACGAACATCAAAAAGTGCTGAGGAGCGAGTCTTAGGAATCAGCTATATCTTCACCGATTATACCGTAACTTTGAAACAATTCAGGCTACTAAAGGACAATCTGGGTGGAAATTCGCGTACAGTGATGATAGCTACTATTTCACCTGCCGCTGACAATTATGAAGAAACGTTATCTACCCTTCGCTATGCCGATCGGGCTAAGCGAATTGTTAATCACGCTGTCGTCAACGAGGTAACTTCATCATCTATAACTGTTGAATCTACTTTCTGCAATGATTGTATGGGTGGAGTCAGCTGTACAAGTGTCCCTTTTCTGCTGATGGGCTTCTTGCTGTGTGCTGGCAGAGACGTGGAGCGCACCAATGAGGAAGGTGCAGTGGCCCAAGTGACTCAGCCTATATGATCAGCGCGGAAGGCCGCAGATCACATTACATTTCGTCGGGAACGATTCTCCTTGCAGGATCCTAACGCTCGCGTTATCCGTGAATTACGAGAGGAAGTCGAGACTCTTCGTATGCAGATCAGCCAAACTTTGAAGGAACATTCGGTAATATTTAATCTTTCAGGTCAAGTATCTTGATAACTAAAATGCAGGAGTGGAGCATTATCTCTTGGAGAGAATTTGGTTTTTTGATATCCTAAAAAAACAATTAACAGTAACCTATTAGTGTCAGTGCTCTAATCAGGGTAATCAGGTGAGACTGTACCAATTTAGGATGGCGTTACAGGGGTATGATGAATGGTGCAAACGATTTGTGCTACATCGACCCTGTAGGCGTCCTCACCCTCCGCGGGCGGGTTTCTTGGCACCATATCAGTGCAAACCCAATATGCTGTTCAAGACTGCGCGCACGGTTTCTATTAACCCTTCCCCACAATTTTCCTCTGCGTTCGTATGTTTTTCCCCTTCAGGTGCACTTGGGACGAAGTGACCTTATCGTTTCAGGAGACCGCGGAATTGCGAGAACGTCTAGCTGAAAGTGAGAGACTTGTGGCACAAATGAACAAGTCATGGGAAGAACGCCTAAAGGAAACTGAGACGCTTAATAAGGTGAGTTATGGCGAATTAAATCCATTTCACGGCCTCCTTCAATAGGACCTATAAAATGTGTGAAAGGGGTTTCATTCGGCCTATTCCCCAGACCATATTGGGAATAAAATAGTCTTTCAATTGGTGACTTATCCTTAAAGTTCCCTTGCAAGCATCTTGACCGAGATGCTTGATAAATTGAACTGTTGCACTAACAATACAAAGCGTGGAGCAGGGAGACTTTTTGAAAGGTCTTTGGGCCCATTGTGGTGGACGGGGCACATGGCAGCGTGTGTTAGCTCATAGCTGATAAGCCGCCGCAATCAGTGTTGTGTTAAGAGGCGTATAATGATACCGCTCCCGCCCGCGTTTCCTACCACTTGTGATCGGTTCAGGAGGAAAACAACTAATGGCAAAACGCCGCAGGTGAGCTCATTGCACTCTTCCTGACACCCCCGACTGACTGTGACGATATCAACATTACACGTCTGCGTCCTCTCACTGAAATAGTGACCCACCCATCCTTAGGCATAGAGAACGCCAAACGACCACAGTGAACGCGGTTTTTTGATTGCTGGCATCGTGTCATATTCCAGTTCTATAAACTCCATTGAATCCAGGAACGGCAGCGTGATCTCGCTGAGATTGGTATCTCCATCGAGTCAAGCGGAATAAAAGTGGAAAAAGATCGTTTCTACCTAGTCAATCTTAACGCAGATCCATCGCTCAACGAATTACTGGTTTACTACATCAACGTAAGTTGGACATGCCTGATGAGCACCATGTATTTTCATTCTATTCGTTCACTATTCACTTTTTGCACTGTTGTAATGTTTTCAGTCATCAGCAATCATAGGCAATCTCGATGAAATTGAAACCAGCCTTGATTCGGGATTGGGAAATTCAGTAGAAGATCTCGACAAGAAAGAAAGTGAGTGATTTCTGGGATAAACCCTTGAGCGGTTGATGAGAAACTTGGCGTGCGGTAGTGTCGAGGGAGGAAGGGAGGGGGGGGGGGGCAAAGCGTTGCGCCATCTTTGTGTGACCATAATTCAACTTTTTTTGCGGTGCATTACGGTATTTTTTGCGGTGAAGAACGACCCAGTTTCAACAGCACACTTCGTTGCGGTTACGGATCAACCGCGCCGCGACCGACGCGCGTCCCACGCTTCTTACTTGAGGGCGCTTCCTCCTAATAGCCTACATGTGTGACTACCTGCTTTACTTCTTGAAAAGATAAAGGATAAAGGATAAAGTCTTCGCCGTTGATCAATCCCTTTGTGGGATGCGGCACGCATTCTACTTCCATTCAGAATCGTAGTGGCTTATTGAATGCGATGTGGCCTATACAATGACTTGCGGTGGCCAGCCGATGTACAAGTCAGTGTTTTATCCTCCCAGACGAATCTGGTACCAATTTACCGTCCCGGAGGGTAGAAGGCTTGGTTGGCCTGGGCGGGTGTCGACCGGGATTCGAACCCGGCGCCGCGCGAGTGGTAAGCGCGCCACTTGTCACTACACCACCTCCGCCGTCTTGAAAAGATAACTCAAAAAAATATCGTGTACAGGAAGTTCACCATTTATTCTTTGCTTGTTCTTGCTCTCCATCGACAATCTATCAGAAAGAAGAGATATGGTCTTATTACAGCTACTGAACGGACCAGTATTGTACTTCGAGGTTTGGGAGTTATGAGGCGGCATGCTAGGTTGAGTGTGGTCGAAGAAAGAGGTCGATCTAGACTGTACGTTGAACCGCTATCGACTGAAGGAAGGTAAGCATTAATCAATATCGGAACAATCGCTCAGTTCTTTTGATAACTATTTCATGACATTTTGTAGAGTATGTGTTAACGGAAGGGAAATCTCCGATCGTACACCGCTAAGACACGGTAATCGACTGCTGATTGGCATGAACCACTTTTTCCGAGTGAACTGTCCAAAGGTATTTCCTTCACATTGGCATGATACCAAAGACAATGGCTCATAAGTTCTTCCGCTGGATGTCACCGCATGTGATGGGGAGTAAAAAATACCTAGTGACGTACCTGGTCTAGGTGACTTGGTGAAAAAAGGGATATCAAAGTGTTACTGTATTGTAACAGGTCCCAGAGGTATCCTTCGGTCACTACATCTGGAGTTAAGAGTTGAGCTGAGCTCGCCTTAACAAGGGTGTATAAGGGAAGTATTAGGTTGTCCGGAAAGTTCTCAGCGTTTTGGGTGTTTCACTTTAAACGATCGTAACTTTTTTAATACTCATCGGATTTAATCGAAATAGGCACCATTCGAATCAGCACACTTTTGCCAATGTGA